TCATATCTACAAGACAAACAACTCTGGTACCGCAAAATTACCGTATTTTTCGCTCCATAAGACGCACCTGACCATAAGATGCACCTAGGTTTTAGAGGCAGAAAACAGGAAAAAAAAAATTCTGAACTAATGGACTGCAGACATAGTACAGGAGATGACCAGAGACTGCGGACACAGTAGTAGAGAGATCCAGAGACTGCGGACACAGTACAGGAGATGACCAGAGACTGCGGAGACAGTACAGGAGATGACCAGAGACTGCGGACATACTACAGGAGATGACCAGAGACTGCAGACATAGTACAGGAGATGACCAGAGACTGCGGACAGTACAGGGATGACCAGAGACTGCGGACAGTACAGGAGATGACCAGAGACTGCGGACACAGTACAGGAGATGACCAGAGACTGCGGACAGTACAGGAGATGACCAGAGACTGCGGACACAGTACAGGAGATGACCAGAGACTGCGGACACAGTACAGGAGATGACCAGAGACTGCGGACACAGTACAGGAGATGACCAGAGACTGCGGACACAGTACAGGAGATGACCAGAGACTGCGGACACAGTACAGGAGATGACCAGAGACTGCGGACACAGTACAGGAGATGACCAGAGACTGCGGACACAGTACAGGAGATGACCAGAGACTGTGGACACAGTACAGGGATGACCAGAGACTGCGGACATAGTACAGGGATGACCAGAGACTGCAGACAGTACAGGAGATGACCGGAGACTGCGGACACAGTACAGGAGATGACCGGATACTGCGGACAGTACAGGAGATGACCGGAGACTGTGGACACAGTACAGGAGATGACCGGAGACTGCGGACACAGTACAGGAGATGACCGGAGACTGCGGACACAGTACAGGAGATGACCGAGACTGCGGACACAGTACAGGAGATGACCAGAGACTGCGGACACAGTACAGGAGATGACCAGAGACTGCGGACACAGTACAGGGGATGACCAGAGACTGCGGACACAGTACAGGAGATGACCAGAGACTGCGGACACAGTACAGGAGATGACCAGAGACTGCGGACACAGTACAGGAGATGACCAGAGACTGCGGACACAGTACAGGAGATGACCAGAGACTGCGGACACAGTACAGGGGATGACCAGAGACTGCGGACACAGTACAGGAGATGACCAGAGACTGCGGACACAGTACAGGGGATGACCAGAGACTGCGGACAGTACAGGGATGACCAGAGACTGCGGACACAGTACAGGGATGACCAGAGACTGCAGACAGTACAGGAGATGACCGGAGACTGCGGACATAGTACAGCAGATGACCAGAGACTGCGGACAGTACAGGAGATGACCAGAGACTGCGGACACAGTACAGGAGATGACCAGAGACTGCAGACAGTACAGGAGATGACCGGAGACTGCGGACATAGTACAGGAGATGACCAGAGACTGCGGACAGTACAGGAGATGACCAAAGACTGCGGACACAGTACAGGAGATGACCAGAGACTGCGGACAGTACAGGAGATGACCGGAGACTGCGGACACAGTACAGGAGATGACCGGAGACTGCGGACACAGTACAGGAGATGACCGGAGACTGCGGACACAGTACAGGTGATGACCAGAGACTGCGGACACAGTACAGGGGATGACCAGAGACTGCTGACACAGTACAGGAGATGACCAGAGACTGCGGACACAGTACAGGAGATGACCAGAGACTGCGGACACAGTACAGGAGATGACCAGAGACTGCGGACACAGTACAGGAGATGACCAGAGACTGCGGACACAGTACAGGAGATGACCAGAGACTGCGGACACAGTACAGGAGATGACCAGAGACTGCGGACAGTACAGGAGATGACCAGAGACTGCGGACACAGTACAGGAGATGACCAGAGACTGCGGACACAGTACAGGAGATGACCAGAGACTGCGGACACAGTACAGGAGATGACCAGAGACTGCGGACACAGTACAGGAGATGGCCAGAGACTGTGGACAGTACAGGAGATGACTGCTGACCTTTGGGGAGGGGGGGGGAGCGGGTACCTGAATTTGACAGGTACCCGCTCTTACTTCCGCGGAGTTGTTCTTTGATCTTACCTGTTCTTCTATCCAGCGGCGCGCTGTCTACCCGGCTTCTGTAGTGTGGGTGCTCGGCGGACAGCCGGATGCCCAGTGCGCATGCGCGAGAAGCGCTGCGCTTTGTGATTGGTCCGGCGGCTTCTGGGATCTGTCATGTGTCCCAGGTACCGCCTTATCATTCACAAAGAGCACCGCTTCTTGCGCATGCGCACTTGGCACCCGGCTGTCACGCACACTACAGAAGCCGGGAAGACAGCGCGCCGCTGGATAGAGGAAACAGGTAAGGTCCCACTGCAGAGCTGAGCGGCCGGCCCGGTATTCTGACACGGCGGCGGTGGAAATACCGGACCGGCCGCTCCATATTTCGCTCCATAAGATGCACTGACATTTTCCCCCCTTCTTGGGGGGGAAAAAAGTGCGTCTTATGGAGCGAAAAATACGGTATGTTGAGTGCTTTTTCCTCTTCGGTTGCTTGAGAACCTTGGAGATCATACGGAGTTCAGGATTTTTTGCCCGTATCTCTTTCTTCTCTAACCCCTTTTTTTCTTTTCCTCTGCTGACATCCTCTGCTCACAATCCTCTTCTGCTTTATGGCTCATTTAGTACAGTAAAACCTAAACTTGTAGAACCGGAGATGTGAATGTTATATTAAGCAGAATTATTGTTACTCTTGTTCTTCAAACCATATACAAACTACTTCTGATCATTTTTTGAGTGCACTGTCTACCCTAGCTGCATGGGGAACGAATACTCTGACATTTCTGTCTTTGCTAATATAGTATCTTCTAAGATGTCATTCTGTTCACATAGTACAGTATGTGAGGATTTCTTATGTATGCAGTAAATACACTATATTGCCATAAGTATTGGTCTCCGGCCTTTCCACGCACATGAACTGTAATGGCCTCCCAGTCTTAGTCCGTAGGGTTCAATATGAGTTGGCCCCGCCCTTTGCAGCTATAACAGCTTCAACTCTTTTGGGAAGGCCGTCCACAAGGTTTAGGAGGGTGTCTATGGGAAGGTTGGACTATTCTTCCAGAAGCACATTTGCCAGGTCAGGCACTGATGTCGGGGGAGGAGGCCTGGCTCGCAGTCTGCGCTCTAATTCATCCCAAAGGTGTTCTATGGGGTTGAGGTCAGGACTCTGTGCCGGCAGTCAAGTTCCTCCACCCCAAACTGGCTCCTCCATGTCTTTATGGACCTTGCTTGGTGCACTGGTGGGCAGTCATGTTGGAACAGGAAGGGGCCATCCCCAAACTCTTCCCACAAAGTTGGGAGCATGAAATTGTCCAACATGTCTTGGTATGCTGACGCCTTAAGAGTTCCCTTCACTGGAGCTAGGGGGCCAAGCCCAACCCCTGAAAAAAACACCCCCACACCATAATCCCCCCTCCACCAAATTTTACACTTGGCACAATGCAGTCAGTCAAGTACCATTCTCCTGGCAACCATCAAATCCAAGCATGTCCATCAGATTGCCAGACAGTGAAGCATGATTCCCCACTCCAGAGAACATGTCTCCACTGTTCTAGAGTCCAGTGGCGGCGTGCTTTACACCATGGCATCCGACGCTTTGCATTGCACTTGGTGATGTAAGGCTTGGATGCAGCTGCTCAGCCATGGAAACCCATTCCATGAAGCTCTCTACACACTGTTGTTGGGCTAATCTGAAGGCCGCACCAAGTTTGGAGGTCTTTAGCTATTGACTCTGCAGACAGTTGGTGACTTCTGCGCACTGTGCGCTTCAGCATGCGCTGACCCCGCTCTGTCATGTGACGTGGCCTACCACTTGGTGGCTGAGTTGGCTGTTGTTCCCAGTTGCTTCCACTTTATTATAATCCCACTAACAGTTGAGCGTGGAATATTTAGTAGCCAGGAAATGTCACGGATGGACTTATTGCACAGATGACAAACTATCACTGGACCACGCTTGGAGTCACTGAGCTCCTGAGAGCGACCCATTCTTTCACCAATGTTTGTAGAAGCAGTCTGCATGCCTAGGGGCTTGATTGTATACACCTGTGGCCATGGAGGGGATTGGAACACCTGAATCCAATGATTTGGAGGGCTGGCCCAATGCTTTTGGCAATATAGTGTATGTTTTATACTACTGTTTTGGCAACATTCTGTGAAAATTTAATAAAATAAAATTAAACATAATTTGGTATCAATAGCAAACACTGAAACTGAGCTCTTATTTCCAACCTCAAAATCTTAAATAACCAAATTGAACAGTATGGCCCCCAAGACAGAACCCTAGGACCACCTTTCAGAGAATGAATCATTTATCACTACTCTCTGGACCCGTTCAGGTAACCAGTTTCCTGTCCATGTACATACAATTTCATCAACTACTACAGATCTTTATAGATTAAACAGTCATGAGGTACGAAATCTAGATAAACAGTGTCCACTGGACTTCCAATGTCCAATTTCTCACTTCCTTCCTCATAGAAGGATAACAAGTTTGTCGGACAAGAACGTCTTTCATAAATCCATGTTGGTTGTCACTTATGATACCTTTATCACAGACAAACATCTGTATAGAGTCCCTTACCGTTCCCTCAAATAGTTAACATACTATTGATGTTAGGCTGACTAGTCTGTTGTTTTCTGGAATACATCGCAATATCCCCCAGGGCAGTGTCCAGCTCCCCATGCCCTTCGACAATCTCTTGCCTATTAGCCTTAAAAATGGTTTGAATTAATTTTAAAGATTATGTTCCCATTTACTTTAATGGGATTAGGATTATCATGCAGAATTTAGGAGCAGTTTAGCATCCCTCCTGTGAACTGAACTTAGGAATGTCCAACTCATCCCTACACTCCGTTGTGAGATCTCTGATGTATAACAAGGCCTTGTTTCTGTGCGAAACATTTTCCACACTCAGGGCATGAATACGGCTTCTCACCTGTGTGCAATCTTTGATGTTTAACAAGGTCTGATTTTTGTAAAAAACATTTTCTGCACTCAGGGCAGGAATACGGCTTCTCCCCCGTGTGAGATCTCTGATGTAAAACAAGGCCTGATCTCCATGAAAAACATTTTCCACACTCAGAGCAGGAATACGGCTTCTCGCCTGTGTGAATCTTCTGATGTGAGTTAAGTGAAACAACCGTGAAAAACATTTCCCGCACTCAGGGCAAGAATACGGGTTCTCCTCCATGTGCAATCTCTGATGCATAACAAGGTGTGATTTCTTTGAAAAACATTTTCCGCATTCTGGGCAGGAATAAGGCTTCTCCCCTGTGTGAGATCTCTGATGTATAACAAAGTCTGATCTGTGTAAGAAACGTTTTCCACACTCAGGGCAGGAATACGGCTTCTCCCCCGTGTGCAATCTCTGATGTACAACAAGGAGTGATTTCTTGGAAAAACATTTACCACACTCAGGGCAAGAATACGGCTTCTCCCCCGTGTGCAATCTATGATGTTTAACAAGGTCCGATTTCTGTGAAAAACATTTCCCGCACTCAGGACAGGAATACGGCTTCTCCCCCGTGTGAATCCTCTGATGTGTTACAAGATTTGATTTCTGCGTAAAACATTTCCCACATTCGGGGCAGGAATATGGCTTCTTCCCTGCGTGAGATCTTTGATGTCTAACAAGATTTGATCTCCTTATGAAACATTTCCCACACTCAGAACAGGAATGAAGTGCCTCACCCGTGTGAGATCTCTGATGTACAGTAAGACTCAATTCAGAGCTAAAACTTTCCCCACATTCAGGACAGGAAAATTTCTCCTCCCCCTGAATTCCAGCACCATCCCTCACAGTACGAGGTTGCTCAGAGTCAGAGGAATGTGATGGTCCATCCACACTGTGAAGTCCATCATCCATAGCTGAACTCATTGCTTTTTCTCCTTCACAACTTCTTGTGATGTTCTCATCTTCCATTTTACAACCTGGAGATAAAGTGAGATGATCCTTTGAGGGTTTCCCGATGGTGTGTCCTGGAAAAATATAAAAATGTGATCAATATATAAAAAAAAATAGTTAGATCACGTAAAAGAGAAGTATGGCCAAAAGCTTTTTTGGTCATACCTTCTTCAGGGCCACAGGAGTACACTTACTTTTACACTGCTTTAACCCAGAATCAGGATCGGATGTGTGTTCATGTTTTCTCCTATTGATAGGTGTGGGTCAGTAGGTATTATTCATCATGATAGATGTGGATCTGCACCACTGGACAACATGACTGATGTAGTTCTCCATAACGGGATTTTTTTTTTGCAACAATGGACTCGTCAAAAGTGGGTCTGAATTTGTATTTACTTAACATTAGGGTTACTCATTAAAGGGGGAGTTATCTGGGGCTTTGCCTGCTTTTTTAACCACTTCCAGTCCCGACACTTTCACCCCCCTTCCAGTCCCGACACTTTCACCCCCCTTCCAGTCCAGACACTTTCACCCCCCTTCCAGTCCAGACACTTTCACCCCCCTTCCAGTCCAGACACTTTCACCCCCCTTCCAGTTCAGACACTTTCACCCCCCTTCCAGTCCAGACACTTTCACCCCCTTCCAGTCCAGACACTTTCACCCCCCTTCCAGTCCAGACACTTTCCCCCCCTTCCAGTCCAGACACTTTCCCCCCCCCTCCAGTCCCGACACTCCCCCCCTTCCAGTCACGACACTTTCCCCCCCTTCCAGTCCGGACACTTTCCCCCCCTTCCTGTCCGGACACTTTCCCCCCCTTCCAGTCCGGACACTTTTCCCCCCTTCCAGTCCGGACACTTTTTCCCCCTTCCAGTCCGGACACTTTCCCCCCCTTCCAGTCCGGACACTTTCCCCCCCTTCCAGTCCAGACACTTTTCACCCCCTTCCAGTCCGGACACTTTCCCCCCTTCCAGTCCGGACACTTTCCCCCCCTTCCAGTCCCGGACACTTTCCCCCCCTTCCAGTCCAGACACTTTCCCCCCCTTCCAGTCCCGACACTTTCCCCCCCTTCCAGTCCTGACACTTTCCCCCCCTTCCAGTCCAGACACTTTCGCCCCCTTCCAGTCCAGACACTTTTCCCCCTTCCAGTCCGGACACTTTCACCCCCTTCCAGTCCCGACACTTTCCCCCCCTTCCAGTCCAGACACTTCCATCCCTTTCCAGTCCCGGCACTTTCCCCCCCTTCCAGTCCTGACACTTTCCATCCCCTTCCAGTCCAGACACTTTCACCCCCTTCCAGCCCAGGGCAATTTTCAGCTTTCAGTGCTATCACACTTTGAATGACAATTGCGCGGTCATGCAACACTGTACCCATATGAATTTTTTACCATTTTTTTGAGACAGATAAAGCTTTATTTTGGTGGTATTTATTCACCGCTGGGATTTTTATTTTTTTGCTATGTAAATGAAAAAGTCCAAAAATTTTGAAAAAAAGTGTTTTTCTTATAAAATTTTGCAAATAAATAATATTTCATCATCTTGGCCAAACTTTATTCCATTTTCTTTTTAGTAAAAAAAAAAAAACCTAATTAGTTTATAACCAAAAATTATAATTTTTAAACATTTTGTTTTACATTTTTATTTTATTTTTTATATTATTATTTGTTTCTTTTTTTACATATTGTTACCCTAGCAGTACAGTGTCACCATGGTGATACTGTACTACTTGTGGGGGGTGATGAAGATTTTTTTTTTTTACACTGATTGCTTTTGCACCCATAAAGGATGTAAAAGCAATCATTTCTCCTTCTCTCTGGCTGTATTCATTAAGCCATTGAGAACTACTGTGTGAGCTGTGATTGGTCACAGCTTGTCACATGGTACAAGGCGGTTGTGAATAGCCCTGTACCATGTGACCTCTGTGATCATTCACAGATTTCACACGTAGTAAGCAATGATGTCACAAGTCACATCTTGCTTACTACTTTGCATGTGATCACTGATTGGCTAATCAGCGATCACATGATCGGGACCTCGCACGGAGGTCACATCCGACGATTGGTGTTTCAATGTGTCCAAAGGACACAGCGGGCACCGTGAGCTCCCAGGGAGCGCGCACAAGCAGGGTGCGGGGAGGCCGTTTATAAACGGCCACCCGACCCTGCACTGCCACCGTCCGGCCGTTTATATACAATGGCCGGATGGGAGGTGGTTAAAGGGGCTTCCATATACCACTTGCAGACCCCCACAAACAATAGCCAGGGTTGTGAGGAAGAGTCCTTATCATGCAAGGTACACCCCTCATGTTGAAGGAATTCGGCCTTGTATGGTACAGGAGGGGGGTGCACGCTGACCCCCTATTCCAGGCTAGCCAGGCTGTCTACTCAGACAAGAGTCTAGTTTGAATTTTCAGGGGGACCCCAAGCCTTTTTTTTTTTCTTGCTTTTAGCATAGAGCTCCCCCCTGAAATACAAACCAAAAACATTGGAGGGTCCACACCAGTTTTTCTTGGGTGGTCCCCCTTAAATTCCATATCAGACCCTAGGGGCCAAGCAATAATGACTCACTGTTTTTTGAAAAAAAAGGAAAACATGTCAGGAAACCAATAGAATCGATCCTAACTCCTCACGCACACGGGACGTTTTGATAACGCTGGTGACGTTAGCTGTGTAAAGTCACGCTAAAAACAGGAGTTTTTCAGGGTTTTTTTTAGCTGTTTTGCATTAGTGTTTAGCTGTGTTTGAGGTTTTTAGCATTTTGTTTTTACCAAGAAAATATTTTTTGGGTCAAAAAACATCCAAAAACACCAGTTTGCGGCATTCTACTGCGTTTTTCAGCATTAGAGTGTTTTTACAGCTACAAAACTCTAGAAACCCACTAGTCCAGCCAAAAAAAATGGTTGATTCCAGTCTGTGTGTGTATAGGCACATAGGATAACAGGCTGGGGGGTTTACTGGCTGTAGGAAAAAATGTCAAAAGCCAAAAACAGCCGCTGAAAAAATGTCTCGTGTGCACGAGGACTAAAGCCCATCCCTACTCCTTACTTTTCATGCCAGCAAGACTGTTAAAAGAGTTTTATGTTTACATTTTATGAGGGACCAACATATGAAAGGAGCAATTGTGATCATATCTGTGTTACTATGCCTAAAAATGACCCCCAGAATCTACAGAAATCATGTCTGAGAACATACATTGTGTCTGCAGGACAGAGAAGGGGGTTTATCTCAGAGAAAAGAAGATCTAATGTGTAGGACGGGTATCAGTGATTATTATCAACCTATTATTGGCTGATATCACTCATCTCCCGCCCTACTCTGGACCAATCAGTGTGCAGTAACAGAGCAGAGATAACAGAAGAATATATTGTGGCTCACCTGTGCTGATCTCTGTAGGAGTGTCCTCCTCTTTGAATGTCCTCATCATTCCAGCCTCCTCCGTATATTGCTGATCATCCCTCACATACGTCTCTTCTACTTCACCCTCAACTTTCATGGTAATCACTCCATACTCCTCATCCTCCTCTTTATTCTCTTCTTTAACAACAATATTATCATCCCCGAGGATTCCACTCTGAAAGATATAATAAAACATTCATTGTAACAAACATGCTGTGTATAAATCACAACTACCAATAATTGTCAATCATTTACCTGATGATGGTGAGGGATGGTGTGACCTTCCTGTGTGGAATCCTGGGAATACAGAGGACGGGGATATCTCTCTGGTTGGTTCCTGTAGCTGGATGACTCCACCATGGTGTTCTGGTACAGATCTTTGTGTCCTTTTGGAAACTCTGACTCCTCCATCACCCCATCCTCATCCTCCTCTTTTATCTCTTCTTTAATATCAACTTTAGGATCTCTAAGGTTTCCACTCTGAATATATAATAAAAATGACATCAATGGTAACAATGCAGATAATGTACAGATCCTAATGATACTATCAGTGATTGTTCCTCATCTACCTGATGATGGTGAGGGATGGTGTGACCTTCCTGTGTGGAATCCCGGGAATACAGAGGACGGGGACATCTCTCTGGTGGGTTCCCATGACTGGATCCATCTACCTGATGATGGTGAGGGATGGTGTGACCTTCCTGTGTAGAATCCCCGGAATACAGAGGACGGGGACTTCTCTCTGGTGGGTTCCCATGACTGGATCCATCTGTAGGAAACACACACACTGACTGAATCCATTGTTTCTATGTGTTTATCAGATGATGGGGGATCTAGGTGGATCCTCCGTACTGCTCTCTCCTTTACAATAAAGTCTCCTCTTACCCGGTGATGTGAGGGGCGGCTGATTGTCCATCATGACGTCCTTGTAGAGATCCTTGTGTCCTTCTAAATACTCCCACTCCTCCATGGAGAAATAGACAGTGACACCCTGACACCTTATAGGAACCTGACACACACAATGATACAGTCACCATCCAGACACATCCCTTGTCTGTTACTGGAGAATGTCCCAGAATTCCCGGCACCGCTCACCTCTCCTGTCAGCAGCTCCATCATCTTCTTGGTGACTTCTAGAATCTTCTGCATGTTGTGTTTCTCAGGGTTTAGGGAGTCACATGGAGGCACTGTGATGGTCATATGATCACCTGACTTCAGAGGAGAAAATCTCTGTATTGAGGAACCAATAGGAATATCATGTTAGAATCACAGAAACCTCCTCACCTCTCCGGTCAGGTCTGTGTTTTATTAATAGAGATGAGAGTGATGTCATGTGACCTCCCAGAATCCTCCCCACCTCTCCGGTCA